GGGGCTCAAGCGGCTCCTAGAGCCCGATTCTCCACCTCACCGCAGTAGAATCTGACCCAGTGCTTATTGAATTTGCACGTGGGTGATTCCATGGCCCTCCTCACAGTCACTTTCTTTGTAGTTCTTGCTGCTGGTGCTCTAATTGCGCCAAATCAATTGAAATTGATGCTCCAACATTCAATTGCATTGATTGCCTTTCATTAGCAGTTGCTCGACTGACTGAACAAGTATCTCGGGGAATTTTGCTGCTTTTGCGAGCGGTTAATGGAGGGGGCACTCTTATTCGAGAAACAATTTTTTGTATTTTTTTCAAACTTGCATATCAGATGCCTTTATATGAAATAAGCTGCTTCTCTAGCATGAGCTGTTTTCTTATTAATTCCAAAGTAATGGGCTTGGTTTAAGATAACAGACAGCCTAAAAATTCCAGAAAACATTTTTTATTTGTTAGACTTCCATTATGAGTAATACATTACTAATAGTTCATTAAATAACATAGTAAAGCGTTATATTATTTTCAGAACACATTATTATTATTTTCAGACATATTACATTTTGAGGACCCAAACTCATACCGCATTTGTGTAAGCTGTTAACTAGTTCAAGGTTTATTAGCTAAAAATATTCTGGGGTGTGACCAGTCTAATTTTTACAAGGATTGTTGTTACAATGATCCATAAATAGATAAGAAACAATTATATGCCTATCTATGGAGGGGTGAACATATCGAAATAATCGAAAATATTACGGATGAATGTAATTATGGATAATTCATATATCGGTCGTCTATTATAAGTGCTTGAAGTCTGTTTAATGTTTTTGGGAATGTTGATTTATTATTGGATGGTTTGAGAAGTTTGGTTTGATTATTTATCCAGAGCTTAAGTTAAGTGGGTCATAAATTACAATAGCAAAATTGGAGATTGAAGAAATTCGTTTCCTATCATAGGAAAACAACAATAGAATCTGGAATAATTGCTGATAAGTGATATTTAGTTTTGGTCACAGTGATAAAAACTCCCGGTAAATAACGAACTGCCACATCTGGTTGTCCAGCTGCAATGTAATTCAAGCCACATGTGATTATAAACAATTTTGTTGGGGTTTTGCCACTTAGTCAATTACTCTTGAGCTCTAAGGCAAGAGGAAGATATTCGAAAAGCAAACGATCGGCAAAAGCTTCCAATCGAGTGACCTATAGGGGCTTGCGATCGACACACAAATCGGTCGTTTGTTTATTATTCATGAATGGTCTCTTATTATACGCAATTAGCATACAGTTGAACTACTGCAATGGGGTACTTTGGTGAGCTTCAGGGAAAAGCAAATAGTTTTGAAAATAATAATTATTATCATCAGACTTTTTAAATTGATGTTGATTGTGAATTAACCTCATTAATATAGTAAACATGTGTAAAATGTATAAATATTTACAGGAGTGTTCCTAGAAATGTATCTTATCACTACAAAATGTACCGGAAGGGCGTTCACAATTCGCATCAATCTCAACTCTGTTTGATTTCGGCCGGGTTCATGTGCACTCGCAACGTTTTTCATCTGCTTTTGTACTTCATTTTCTGCTTTGTTTACGAGTCGCGGAGTGAGTCACTGTAGGTAAATCGTTTCTTTGTATTTAATTTGGCTGTGTTTTGTTTGGTCGGGGCTGTAATTGCTTGTATTAATTTTTGATCATTGACTTAGTTTTGTGCATCCGGTCGCAAATGAATTATGAAATATTACGCCAGCATTTCGGAGAAACCGCACCCAAATGCAATTAATGCATTTTACATTACGTATCCGCCGTGTGGCACCTATAACCGCCAAGGACATGATCCTTGGAGGGCGTATTTGCTTTTAATAGCGGTTACACCACAGTAGACAGCTGTTAATGGATACATCAGACCACCAGTCCCTGTAAATCAGCTCATTCGTGTGACAATTAGCATGTGAACGCATCAAAATTTAAATAGACCAGTCCACGACCCAGCCCAAGTTTATTTGTTTGGGGAAACTTTTCCTTTTCCTCCAGCTGGGCGGCGGACAATCCTTTCCCACATCCAACCGTGAATAGTGACCAATGGATCGACCTTCTGGGTCACCAGCTGACACCATTTAAAACGCTTTACGAGCGCCATTAAAAATTCAACAGAGAAATCTAGAAAAAGCAAAACTTTTCCCCCGATGACGAATCATTTGAATGCTTACTGAATCCACACATTCCTATTACCCCTCTTCCAGGCAGCCTTCGGCGGCTCGACAAGGCCGCCATATGGAGGAGGTTGGCTTCCGCTCGGTCCAATCAGTCCGCTCAGCCACGACGACAATCGAAACCGAGCTGCTGCCCAACCGGTCCCAGTCGCAACCCCAGTCGCAGTCCCAGTCGCAGTCCCATTCGCAGTCGGAGCCGGAACCGCTGTCGGAACCGGAGTCAAGCAGCCCCGGATGCCGCCAGCCGCGTGAGTCCTGCTGGCCTTATCAGATGAGATAGAAACCCGCCGAGGACACACATCCCCGAGAGACACCCTCATAATGGGCACAAAAACCCAACCACAATTGGCCAAAGGTGAGTGGATGAGAGAAAGTTGAGTTGGTCTGAAATGCCATCAAGTGGTCACTTTCGATGGCAATGAATACAATTTAGAATTCAAAACCGCACGCATTTAGCTAATAAAGATCTACTTTAAAAGAACTGGAATGTCAAATATTTTCAATTAAATCCAAGCGGGCGCTTGACTTTGCGTTGGCAAACAATTTTATTGTAGAGTAGAGTGGTGCTATCAAAACTTTACTTTTTAATAAAGGGTTCAGAAATATGTACGACTAATGAATATAAGAATACATATACATATGATATGATACATATGATAAATAAGATAAGAGTTTTGGTAGGTCAGGTACGGTCAGATACTTCTGCTGGTTTGCTGGAATTGTACTTCATCAACCGCAATTCTAATCATAAATGTGGAGTTCTCCTGATTGGCAGATCTACCTACGATGCTGACTAACAATTAAAACAAAAAGAATGCATTCAGCAATAGAACAAAACTCGACTTACGAATCAATAACCAGCATAAGCCCGATGCCCGCTACAAATTGATTTTGCTCAAAGCCTTTGGCATTTCAGATTGGGAAATCTCGATGCCGCGGGGAGGCAAAAAGTTGAACAGTTGTTACTGATTTCGGCCAGATAGTGACCCAGTTCTTCGGCGTTACTAAACCAATTGCAGGGAGAGACGACGGAAACTCCGACCAAAAGCCGCCCGTTGCTCGATTTTGGCCATGACACTATTCCGCAAAGGTACTGTTAGCCAATGCCCCAAAGCGTGCGTGTGTGTGTGCGGGGGAGTCGAAGTGTATGTGTGTAAGTGCGTGAGTGCCTTGAGTTTGGTCAAAACGGCACTTCGATTTATTAGGCACCTTGTTTTGGCCGCTCAATGAATGAATGCGAATTATTCCGATTCATCAGTAAGGGTGGGTACTTGTTGACTTGTAAGTGTGTACACATAACTTTGTGTAATACACTAGTCAGCAAAATACAGCTAACAATAATGTGATGGGTACCTGGCGAAACCAAGGTTTTAAGGTGGCAAGGATTGATGGAAAACATTTTTTTAAGCTTATTATGATTTAACATTATAATCTGTCCCATACATAAAGAAACAAACTTACCTTTCGATGCTTATCCAAAAGTGTTGAATCAGGAAAACTTGTAAAAATTTTTTATTGACTTGAGACAAGTATCTTGACGACCCAGCATTGAAGTTGCCAAGGAAGTTTGTGACCCTTAAACTCAATTTTGTTAAAGTTGTTTTATAAATAACACAAATTGAGAAACTGCAAAACGACCCAACTTTTTTCCTAACGAAAACGAGAGTACGAACTAATGGGAACTATTTCCTTGTGTAAGCTGAATTACCTGCATTTTTTCGTGGTTTTTCTCTTTGCTTTTGATAATGAAGCTCTTTCGTTAAATAGTATGTATGTACTTAGTATATGAGCACGTGCAAAATTCTTCAAAGGAATTCCGGGAATGTAAGTCTGTGGCCACAAAAACCGCACAATAAATTTACACAATCTATCATATGTACATTCACCGTTTGGCGCTTCGCTGAGAAAGTTTGCTTGTTCCGAAAGGAAAAAAAGAACATAAAGCAATGTGTACGGGGTGCGATTACGAATGGGGGTGGGGACCCCTCCCGGCAATCATTCATTAACCCATATGCGCCACTTCTTCAAGCGCCAATAATGTTTTTTCTCATTTTGACATTGACATTGCTTTGAATGAAAAGAGAATGGGAGAGAGCACGCTTTCTCTTGCTTGTTTAACTCACGTGCCAGAGCGAGGGAGAGCACCTCTAATTTGTTATTTGTTTGTCGACTCACTCGTTCTCTTTCGAATTTGTTCCCTTGTTTTTTTCTTAGGGTGACTTACGAAATTTGCTCATTTTTATGCTTGACAAACTTGGGAAATTGTTGACCGACTCTTTGCCGCAACGAACGGCGAAATACCCTTTTGAATATGAACAATAAGGTATCAAGTAATAATATTTCTTGTTTTCAAAAATTAAATATTAAATATTAAAAGTATACATTGGGTTAAATATCCGCCGCTGCAAGGAACATTAGGGTGGACCGTAGTAACATCATAGTTTCTGCGAATATTCCTCATATGCCCATTGAAATACATCAATACCCACAAACAATCGATCAAGTCAGCTCAGATCATAATATGAAAGCTCTTCCAACGATTTCTTCGCTCCAAGTAAAACCTCTTTTCTTCAAGCCAAATTTGAGAGTGGAATTTATTACCTATTGTGCTTTGAACCTTTGAACCGCAGATCACTTTAGTCCACAGAAATAGTTGGAATTGGAAACTTTGGATGTCCAAGCTTTTCCATAGCTCTCTTTTGAGCCAAGCTGGTTTTACCGTTTGAAACCGCTTCCAACCGTTTCGCTTTTGAAGGTGTGCGTGAATCGGTTGCCAAGATATAGCTTTATAACCCGCCCGTTTGGTTGCCTTGGCAGCGCAGTCGGCAATTTGTTGTCATCGTTTTGCTCGCATTTCGCTCAGCTGACGGCGTCGCAGTCGCCGTCGCCGTCGCCGTCGCCCATTTTGGCCGCAGTTTGCGCGCGGCAGTTGGGCATTTGGCTTTGGCGTTAGCCGTTTTTGTTTTATCGCGCTGCGGACCGCCGACCGCCTAGCAATTCGCGTTGCCTTGGGCCACTTAAATAGAATATAACTCCTTGCTTCGCGAAGAACTCGAGTTGCAGTTGTAAAATAAGGTGTTTCCGCGTTGCCATAAAAACTTCCGCGGAAAACTAATAAAAGGCAAAAAATATGAAAACGGAAAAAACGGAAAAACCGAACGCAAGCGGTGCAAAATAAGTGCAAGAAATGTGCTAAAAATGTACGAAGCTGAGTGGGGGGAGGAATAGGAGAGGAGGAATAGGGGTAGAAGGCGAAGGGCCGAAGAGAGGCAGATGATGATGATGCATTTGGCACCTGGCACTGAAAACATATTTCCCATTTGCCCCAGCTTGGTTGTGTTTTCTTAGCTCCCAGCATAATTATTGAGCCTTCATCGATTCTTTTGGCCTTTTCTTGTAGTTAATTTGTTTCCACCACCTCACACCGCCCCGCCCCTTGCCAACACACTAAAGGTGACGCATGCGAGCGAAGGAAAAGCGAACAGCAAAAACAACTCAAGAAGGCGAAACAAATTGAGAGCAAGGAGCAAATTTACATTCACATGCATGACTCATGTTCGCAGCAGGATATCGTTAAGGAGAGCGGAAGAGTGCATGGCCGAGAAGGGGGGAGAGAGAGCGCGACAGAGCTTAGCCGGCATTGTTGTTGCTACACAGGGAAAAAGTTTAAATTACAATTTCAATGGTTGCAAAAGAGGCCTGAAGATACATATATGTATAAATACCTACATAAATAGAAATTAAGGATTATTTTTTGGGCATCAGATAAAACCAGCCCAGAATAACTTATGCATACCTAGGCAATTTTCTCAGTGTAGTTGAGAGAGTCCTACAAACAAAGAGGCATACAAAAACAGAGAGCGCCAATCAGCTGTAATTCGAAATCGGGCGGATGTGGGGCCAAACTTTTGTCGATTCCCTTTATTGTCCTTAACAGAGAGACAAAAACTTTGGGATCAACTTTTCGTCTCAGATTCAATTTCCGTTCTCCCCCTACCGTTATGCCTCTCATACCCACCTTTTGCCTGCATTCGCCGTGGCCTTGACAACGGTTTTGACATTGACACCCGCCCGCTTTTCCACATTTATGAACGGAAAGAGAGTGTAAAAAGAGAGAACTTTATTTTGCTGCAGCTTCCTTTTCTTTGTTGCCCAAATAAAGGCCACCTGTTGAATGCGGAATGCTTACACCCTCGCACACACACACACACACACACACACACTCTGTGGCAGCTTAGTGACGTCAGAGCGACTTGCTTACTGCAGATTTGCTCAATCGGCCATAAGGCAGTAAAGTAAACATAAAGTAGTACACATGTCTTCGTATTTTTGTAGTCGAGTGCTCAACCATAATGCACCCAGATGTATTCACATAAAAATTCCGAGAAAGTTCCAAGAAAGCAAGGTGAAAATGTTTGAAATGGAAACTGGCAGTAAATACAGTGCGTGCTTTATAAAATAAACCAATGAAAAGCCAAAGCAAAGGAATCAGATAAAAGATTCTGAAAAACATATTCTTGCAATTTAATACTACGCCAAGAAGATATCAGCCCTAAGAAACATTTTTCTTTTAGAACATAGCTCAAATATGTCACGTAAATAGTTATGCATTTAAGCCAAAGCTATTATTTCATTAAAATCTTACATACAGCAGACCAAACAGTAACCAGTTTAATTTAAAACCACTGAAAAGCAATTCCAAATTAATTACCAGTTTTTGTTACAATCGGTTTATTTGAGCTCCATATTAAAATCTCACACAATAAATAATTATTGGATGAACTTTAATTGAAATGCACCATAGCTATTAAACTATATTTGCTTGTGGAGAACACAAAAGGTATGAACAACCAGTTTAGAACAACCTACAATGTTTATTGGAAAAAGTTTAATTGGTAATTATTTGGAAAACAGTAACGGAAGTAAGTTTTCCTAAATTGCTTTAAAATGTGTGTACATTTCGTGACGCATTTAGCTTCGAAATCAAACCCAGTTAAAAAATCTCAACAAGTATTTGATATACCCTTTGAAGACGACTCCCCTGGGTATCCAAGAATCAAAGCAGAAATTTGTTTATTTATTTATTGCCCAGACATATGCGTGCAAACACTCACTGTGTGATGAGAATCGTTTCCAGCTGTCTGGGGCTCTTTGGCAGTGGGAGGGGTAGCAGTCTATCAAAATGATGGATGGAACAGTCTTATTGAGCCAGCCCCCCAGGAAAGTTTGTCCGGTGCCGATGGGTTTTCAATTGCATTTTTATCTCTCGGGAGTTAGCAACACGTTAAACTTTCGCTTTTCCTCGTAGAATGAAGTGTAATGTGGACGCCTCATATCGATACTGTTCCACCTATAGCCTAAGCTGGTCATGATCGGGGGCAGGAGATGCAGCGAAGCCGCCCGGCGGCTGAAAAGGCGTCCTGACACGCTGGAGCTTTCCGTTCTGGATGGCCAACCCATGGAAACGGAACTCCAACTCCAAGAGGATAATGAAGGGACCCCATCAAAGGGAGCCGGAAATGTGAATGAATCCGGATTAGGAGCTACCGAAGTTTCACGCTCTGCGCCCAGCAAAAGAACACGCTGGTTTCAGTTCGCCAGGAGCTCCAAAAACCGAAGGAAACGATTGCACTGCGATGAAGATGAGGAAGTTGTGCAGCAGGACAGAAGGAATTCCGACTTGGAGGGCAGTCGGAGGGCGTGCCTCGCCCAACCTGAGGGCATGAATATAGGCAGCTCAACTCAAACCATCGCCACACCCCTGATGATGGGTGACAGTTTCTACAGCCTGGCGCCGGGAGGAGGCAATCCATCAGCCAACAAATCCGACGACTTGGAGCTGTATAAGCAGAGAGATCCTTCGGTGACCTCTGAGTCAAAGTCGGCGCCCAGTATGAGACGTCTTTCACAGATTAGAAGGCGACGCAGCTCGTACTACTTTTCTGGTAAAAGGGGATTAAGATGGGAAATTAGCTTTACAGATAAAGGACTTTTAATTTTATAATAAAAATATCTTAGTCTAGTGTACTTAGTGATAACATTTCATCTACATTTTAATAGTGGCCACGGATCCCAGCTAAGACCTACTTTTTGCTTTTCACAGAAAACGAACGTAGAATTCGAGCCAACGACAAAGAGTTCAATGCCCAGTTCAAATATCACGTAAGTAAATATTTACTCTTCTTATTGAATGCATATAAGCATTTAATTCTTTTGTTTGCTGATCTATATACTATAATCCCCATTAATTTACAGAACAATTACATCAAGACCTCCAAGTATTCGCTGTTCACGTTTCTGCCTTTCAACCTGCTGGAGCAATTCCAGCGGCTGGCCAACTTCTATTTCCTCTGCCTGTTGGTCCTCCAGCTGATACCCGCGATATCCTCGCTCACTCCGGTGACCACAGCAATTCCCCTGATCGGAGTACTTACTCTGACGGCTGTTAAGGATGCCTATGATGATATTGTGAGTACGAAATACTAGTTGTACGAGTATCTTCTAAATTGGGTTTCTAAATCTGTGTTTTCTTTTTCAGCAACGGCATATTTCTGACTCGCAGGTGAACAATCGCAAGTCGAAAACGCTGCGCAATGGCAAGTTGGTGGAGGCCAAGTGGTCGGAGGTACAGGTGGGCGATGTCATTCGGCTGGACAACAATCAGTTCGTGGCCGCCGACACCCTGTTGCTGTCCACATCGGAGCCAAATGGTCTGTGCTTCATCGAGACAGCCGAACTGGATGGGGAGACGAATCTCAAGGCAAAGCAATGCCTGACGGAAACCATCGAGCTGGGTGATCGCCATGATCTGCTGTGGAACTTCAACGGCGAGATCATTTGCGAGCGGCCCAACAACCTGCTGAACAAATTCGATGGCACCTTGATTTGGCGGGGTCAGAGGTTCGCCCTGGACAACGAGAAGATCCTGCTGAGGGGCTGTGTTCTCCGGAACACGCAGTGGTGCTATGGCGTTGTGGTCTTCGCCGGAGTGGACACCAAGTTGATGCAGAACTCCGGAAAGACCCAGTTCAAGAGCACTGGCGTGGATCGCCTGCTCAACTTTATTATTATTGGGGTAGAGGCGTTTTAAATTTTCGTTAAGCCTACCTACAACTAACGTATATCACTCCCTTCAGATCGTCCTCTTTCTGGTGTCGATTTGTGCCCTTTTTGCGATAGGCTGCGCCATCTGGGAGGGCCTGATTGGCCAGCACTTCCAATTGTATCTGCCTTGGGAGCACATCATACCCAAAGATTACATACCCACGGGAGCAACAGTCATTGGATTGCTGGTCTTCTTCTCGTATGCCATAGTCTTAAACACAGTTGTGCCAATCTCACTCTACGTTTCAGTAGAGGTATGTATCTATTTTAACGAGGCAATTACGTGGCATTGTAAAGCACGCATATAATCCTGCACAGGTTATACGCTTCGTACAATCGTTTCTCATCAACTGGGATGAGGAGATGTACTACCCGACCACCAATACCTATGCCAAAGCCCGCACCACCACGCTCAACGAGGAGCTGGGCCAGATCCAGTACATATTCTCGGACAAGACGGGCACCCTCACCCAGAACATCATGACGTTCAACAAGTGCAGCATCAATGGGCGCAGTTATGGCGATGTGATTGACCTGCGCACCGGCGAGCTGGTCGAGATTACGGAGGTGAGTGGCGGATTGTCGGGGTTTCGGGGTTTCGGGTCCGAAAGGCCAATTTAACCTCTAACTTGGTTGAGGGAATGTTGTCTTGTGTGTGTCGGTGTCCGTTGCTTGCACAGTCTGCCCCAAGAATGTTCAGTCTCGCCAGAGGCTGTGCCTTCAAATCAAACTTAAACTTTGACATTTTCCTTTGACCCCAACCTTGTGCGTCCTTGTTTAATTGTGCGTCTGACAATGTAAAAAATGAAAAGAACAAAGAGAAGAAACAACAACTCACATTACTCGTTATAGCAGCAAACAATTTTCCAAAATAGCAACACCAACAACAGACCCAGCCCCTCAAGTGGAGCTATCGCAGCACCACCTGCAGCACCACCTGCAGCACCTCCTGCAGCACCACCCCCCATCATCCTAGTGCACAAGGCCGAGGTCCATGCGAAGAAGAGTTCCATGGTGGTCACATCCTCCGGGGAGGCGCAAGTGCTGCCAGACAGACCCAGATCGGATCACGAGCGGCCTGCGCCGCCGTTGGAGGCCAGTGAAAAGCGGCCAGGACTCAAGCATGTGCGATACTCGGCGCCCGGTAGAAGTCAGGACGAAGACTCTGGCCGTTTGTCGCCCAGGTTGGGCGGAAGTGGAGCTCTCAGTCCACCCATAGGCAGTGAGGAGCGACGAAGCAGTGGTGGCTTCAAAAGGATTGGAGCCGGATGTATGCAGCGCCAATTGTCCCGCACTAGCAGCTGCGACAAAGTAAAGATTTTGCATGACAGCCAACAGACAGAAACACACAACATGCACCATTCAAGTCACAATCGCAAGCGATTAGTCAAGATCCGGTTTAAGAAAGCGCCATCCACAGCCGCGCTGGATGGTGCCTTCTCTCAGCTCGAGCACCACCTCGAAGAGGAGCCACAATCCACATCCGCACTTAGCACCACCAAGCACCACCATCGTCACAAGGCACTCGCCACCAATTGGAGTTCGTCGCCTCACAGAGTGCACGTATGCATGTTGCATGTCCTTCAATTCACACCCACAATTACCAATTAGTGTCTTGTTATGTGTTGTTTATGTGTTTCCATCGCGTGCTTATATCGCTTTCACCCTACCAGTTAACGATATCTTTTGGCTTGAACATGATAAAAGTATTTATTATTTCGAACGTATGCTGCACACAAACTTTTTTCTGATACCCACAATACTCGTGTACATACAGCAGAGTCGTGGATCGGTATTGTGTAAATAAAGTGTAAAAATATATTTATTTTTTAAGAAACGTTTTTATGTTTATTATGCAAATAGTACCGTTTATTACTTGTTTACACCTTTATGTAACACGACGTAGTATTTTACATCACATCGTCCATGAACAATATGTAAACACTATTCGATTTAAGAGATAGAGGAATCGCTTTTAAGGGAATTTAACGCTTTGGCACAGTAGATACTTTCATTGTAACACCACTAATATTAGTAGAGCATTATATGCTTTGGGACACTATGCTAACCTGGCTTAAAACTGTATACAGCCAAGCTTATCGTACAGTAACTCAGAATAGACTCTAGCTTCGCAGTTTCTGAAGTACATTTGTTTATCCCAGGCCCTTCAAAGTGTTGACTTTTCGGCCAATCCGCATCACGAGACTGACTTCCGATGGTACGATCGCACGTTGCTGGATGCCGTCCGGTCGGATGAGGAGCACTCCCACGTGTTTTTCCGCCTCCTGGCCCTCTGCCACACGGTCATGGCCGAAACGGTGGACGGTAAGTTGGAGTACCAGGCCCAAAGTCCCGATGAGGCTGCCCTCGTTTCGGCCGCTCGCAATTTTGGCTTTGTCTTTCGCACACGAACACCGAATAGTATTACCATCGAGGTGATGGGACAAACGGAGGTGAGTAATTGCTGCACATTAAAAAATGTGAATAATTTAAATGGTGAAATATTACAGGAATACGAGCTCCTAAATATCCTTGACTTCAACAACGTCCGCAAGCGGATGTCTGTGATTCTCCGGCGCGGCGACTCCATGGTGCTCTACTGCAAAGGAGCGGACAATGTGATATATGATCGTCTGCATGGCGGACAGGAGGACCTAAAGGCGCGCACCCAGGACCACCTTAATGTGAGTAAAATGGTAGATTTTCATGACCTCGATTTGATTTGTGACGCACTCCTCCCACTCCTCCCATAGAAATTTGCCGGCGAGGGCTTACGTACTCTAGCTCTGGCTGAACGGCGCTTAACGGAGCAGTACTACAACGACTGGAGGAGTCGGCAACAGGAGGCAGCCCTTTCGATGGACTCGAGGGAGCAGAAGCTGAATGCCATTTACGAGGAGATCGAGAGCGAGATGCAGCTGGTTGGGGTGACGGCAATTGAGGACAAACTGCAGGACGGCGTGCCCAAGTCAATTGCTAATTTGCAGAATGCAGGCATAAAGATATGGGTCCTAACCGGCGACAAGCAGGGTAAGCCATGATGGAAAAATTTTCTCGTGGCTTCCACTTAAGTATTTGAGCTATTTTACCAACAGAAACTGCCATCAACATCGGCTACTCCTGCCAGCTGCTTACGGATGAACTTGCGGATGTCTTCATCGTGGACGGCAACTCGGTGGAGGAAGTGGAAAAGCAGCTGAGGCAGTTTAAGGAATCTATTAAGATATACAATCGGTTTCGACCAGGAGGTAGGTTGTTTAAAAGCCCGATAGTCAGCTCATTTTGTTAAAAAATATTTGTTTGATTCTGTTTTAATTTGATTCCTTCAGGATTTGAGGCACTTGACCGCTTAAACAGCGACAGCAATATGGATCCGCTGAGCGTGACCATGACACAAACTTCGGCCTTCATGCAGGAGACGAACCTACCGCCCACGCCGCCTCCACCGCCTGCCATTTCGGTGGTTACCTTTAGGTGGGATGAGAAAAATAAGGATAATAAGGGCGGACCGGACAGGTAGAGGGCAATCCTTAAAAATATCCCAATTAGATTAGCTTTTAAAATTGAATGATTTTCCAAACATATTTCTAGCTGAAGTGAAACCTAATCTTCTTCTCAGTGCTAGACTATCTTTCTTTCTTACAAATTAAAACCTATTTTAGCCAAATGTCTACTACTTTTCTATGTATTATTCGTTGTATCTAAAAGTTTTTCATTTATATGTTTATTTATTAATTTATTTACTTCTAACCTCAGATTCTTTTTAGTTTTGTCTTAGAGGACTGTTTGACTTCAATAGCAATATATCCTTTTTGTTTCACATTAAGTTACAAGAATATAGATACCTTAGAAAGAGAGCAGTTTAGTAGTACCCACCAAAGGATGTAACCCTCTATTGGTGCTTGTTCCGCCCGTCAAGTAAACTATACATAAACATTTCTCAAACTAAATACTTTTTACAAATTAAAAACATGCAACATCTGTTTACGTTCTGTCTGTTCCCCATTCCTTGTACAAATACCAATCTTAAGAATTAATTTCAAACAAATACCAGTTCCAGAACCACGAAAACAAACAGTCACTGTCCAGTCTTGTTCATTACCTAAATAGATTATCCAAAGTAGTTGCTTAACTAAATCTCTGTACATATAACTCATTAAGCTTTACCACTCTGTACACTGACATTTCCATTTTAATTGTTCAACATCAAGTCATGCTGTGGTACTAATCTAGGGTTTTGTTTTGCAAGAACAGTGCTGAGTGCAATGACTTGTTCGGCGATGACAAGCGGAGCGAGGATGGAGGCACTGCCTCCATTGTGGTGGATGAAAGTACAGGATTTGCTCTGGTGGTCAATGGTCATTCGCTGGTGCACTGCCTTTCCCCGGAATTGGAGAACAAGTGCGTGGCCTGCCCATAATTTTCGAGTGGCAATTAATAATGGAATAATTTAACCTAATCTACCTAATCTACAGATTCCTGGACATCGCCTCGCAGTGCAAGGCGGTCATCTGTTGCCGGGTAACGCCCCTTCAGAAGGCGCTGGTCGTCGAGCTAATAAAGCGTGCCAAAAACGCCGTAACTCTGGCCATTGGCGATGGCGCCAACGATGTGTCCATGATAAAAGGTGAGTGATGCCAAGACAAATATTAAAATGTAATATTTGAAAACCTTTTCCCTCAAGCTGCTCACATCGGCGTTGGAATCTCCGGACAGGAGGGTCTTCAGGCTGTCCTCTCCAGTGACTATTCCATAGCCCAGTTTCGATACCTCGAGCGATTGTTGCTGGTACATGGTCGATGGTCCTACTACCGCATGTGCAAGTTCCTCAGATACTTCTTCTACAAGAACTTTGCATTTACACTGTGCCATTGCTGGTACTCGCTCTTCTGCGGCTTCAGCGCTCAGGTGCGTTGAACTACAAGAGTTTTTCGGTGCAACAACTAATTTCAATCCCTCCACAGACGGTTTTCGACCCGATGTTCATATCGGTGTATAATCTGTTTTACACATCCCTACCCGTTTTGGCGTTGGGCGTCTTCGAACAGGATGTCTCGGACAAGAACAGTCTAGAGTTTCCGCGCCTCTACACTCCGGGCTTAAAGAGCGAGTTGTTCAACATTCGAGAGTTCATCTATAGTGTGTTGCACGGTGCCTTCACCTCGCTGGTCCTGTTCCTGATTCCGTATGGCGTCTACAAGGATGGCGTCTCGGCGAACGGATTTATTGTGAGCGATCACATGACCCTCGGCGCCGTGGTGGCTACCATACTTATAGTGGATAATACAGCTCAGGTAAGTAAAGCTCAAAATTATTCTCGGTAATTAGCATTTATTCTACCTTTATATCATTCCGTGGAGTGTCGTTATCCTTAATTTCAATGTTCTTGTAGATTTCTTTGTACACCTCCTACTGGACCGTTGTCAATCATGTGACCATCTGGGGCAGTTTGGTTTGGTACTTTGTGCTGGACTACTTCTACAACTATGTTATCGGTGGCCCCTATGTGGGCTCCTTGTCGCAAGCCATGAAGGACCTTACCTTTTGGGTTACCATGTTGATCACAGTGATGGCGTTGGTGGCTCCAGTTTTGGCCTACAAGTTCTATTTGCTCGATGTACATCCGAGCCTGTCGGATAAGGTAAACATCATTACTTAAAAGTAATCCATGCATTTTGATACTAATTACGAACTGCCCGATCAAAGATCCGACAAAAGTCCCTGAAGAAGATCCACTCCCGAACTTCAAGTGTTGTCAGGCGAACTGCCTCGTCACGTCGTGGACGTCGCTCCGTACGTTCGGGATATGCCTTTGCCCATCAGGTAATACCGCATTAAATATCTTTTATTTAACATAATTAACCTATACCGGATATTTCACCTTCCAGGAGGGCTTTGGTCGCCTGATAACCTCCGGCAAGATCATGCACAAACTGCCGCAGGACTTTGCTTTTCCTCTGGGCTTGGGCACCAAGAAAACACAGGTGCTACACAACAACCTGAACTCGGCCGATGGACCGAACTCAAAGACCAACAATGTGACTGGCCACCATATGGTCAACAACAACACAAATATGCGACAGAATCAAAACCAACACCACTCGTCGATGGCGGATATAACGGCTGATGGGCGGGGCAATGGGGGAGATGATGGCAGAGGAAGTGGAGGCTCGGATGATATGAGTCCTCGTGCTCCCTGCCAGGACCTGGATACGATTAATCTCTAAGCTTTAGATGCAGGTGCTGGATCGGTAGCGGGTTTAGTAACAAACACCAAAAATTTCAATGAATTTAGGTTAGCGGAAAGTAGGATAAGAATTATGTTTCATTTAAAAACGTTATCAGTAGTTTTAGAATTTAGTGAGGGTATAGTTAATTAAGGTCCGTGTGAGTGTGAGCCAAAAAATTGAACAAGTATTATGACGAACGCGTGTTCAATCTCCGTATTTCTGCTTCTTAAGAGGGTGCATTATATGTTTTTCAATTGTTTTTCTCAGTAATTAAGTTAAAAGTATTTGTACTAGAAACCAGTAAATTATCGTACAATGTCTTAAGCCTATTTATTATTACCCATAATCTCCCATAATTTCTACTCTATTATAACAAGGTCCTATCCTTTCCTGTGACAATCCAGTACTAGTATACCCAACCTCCTAAAAAAAGCACAAAAATCCCTTTTCACGTATTTATATCATCGTTGACTGCATTTAAGAGAGTGAGCCCCCTGAATGATGGATTGAGTGCTTGGTTTTTTTAGGATGTAGCATAGGTTATATTAGATTTATACTGTCTTTGGGAAACTGAAAGTGTACTTAATTGCTTAAAGATGTGCTGTGTGCTTAGCCAATATAAATGCGGTACTTACCACCGCTCAGAGTAGCTTATCTACAAATAGCTGAACCAACTCTCGTCTCAAAGTCCAATATGCTATATGCTATATACTACCCCCAACAAAGACACAACAACACATAGAAAGACCACACGTCTGTGTTCCTAAATTGAGTTATAGAATCAAAGCCTACATTTGCCTTAGAATGTCCCTTGGGTTGGTTAAGTCCTTTTAGCAGTATCGGGTTGGTTAAGTCCTTAGAGCAGTATCGGGTTTTGTAATAAGGACTCCCATTATTATTCGGTTGTTAAGGATGGACATTCGAATGAGTGGGCTGTGTGTTTGAGCAGTAACAGAGATTTAAAGTGATTTAGTATTAATGAGCACGGGAAAGTACGTTAAAGTCGCTTTTTATATAAAAATGGGTTTAAGTCAACAGAATGTATTGGGTAAATAATTTAGCATAATAAGAAAAAAAGCTATTGCAAATTGAATAGATTAAACTTACCTTTAATGTGCAAATTGTTGCTATACAAGACGAAAAGTGAAAGAAAATAATTAAACCAAATAAAGAGAAAACATTTTATTTTTATCTACAATTTTAGCCAATGAAAGTACGCATTAAGTACATTTTTAAATGACAAAATAAAAGCGAAATATTTATAAAATGCATAAGCCAAAGCCGATTTTACTATTTTTAACATATTGATTTTATTGTTATTTATAATACACCCGACAATATTAATTGAATTTCGTTGAGAATCACAACATTAATGTGCATTTCCTGTTATTGAAATAATTAACCTTATTTTAATCCACCATTTTTAAACGAATTTAGCTCCACATCATCGCGTTTGTATATCTGCTCCTTTTCAGATTGTGCTCAATTTGCGTAACAAATTACATTTAATTTGTTAAAAGAAAAGTTGAAAGAACGCCGGCCCAAACCCGTGACTTGTTTACGCCTCATTAGCTGGACATTAAGATTATGCATTTTTATGAACTTTTCGGTCAAATTTAACACACGACTTGGTCGGAACTTTGTAATTAAATCTGTTACAATCAAATTGCTTGACCTTTTCGTTGGCCACACTTCCTGGCAAACTTTTTTCTTTCATTATCTTTTCTTAAGAAACTGAATGATGCTGGGTAAATTTAAGGCGTTGGAATTAAGTCAACTTAATGTCGTTTAAGTATCCACTTTGAAGGGGGAGAAACAGATAAAAGCGATGGAGCACAACAGCAGAAATCTGGAGGAAAAAATGTGATGCCATTTATTTTAATTTGCGAGTCAAAATGTCGAGACTTAAAGTGAGCAATGAATGCGGCCGAAATGCGCCACAAGCTGAAGGAAAGTGAAGATTGAAAGAGAAATGGCCAGAAGCTGCCGCAATGACGCAATTCCTTGGCCCAAAATTGGCCTTCTTTCTGGTTCTAGGGTCAAACAATTTAATTGACTGAATTATACTCCATACGAGATTCGTAGAGAAATCATCATAAAAATGGCCATTTTATTAAGGTAACCAAAACTTGGTGCACATTATCGAGGAAAATCGTTCTGCAAGTTGTTCAAAATCTTTACACGCAGATAAATAACTTCAAATGCCAAAAGGGATCACCGAAAATGGGACCCTCGGGGAAAGTAGAATATCTAAGATATGGCCATAAAACTAAATTGATGTGTATCTGTGGTATTCAGAGCAAAGGGTACATAAAATGAAGAAAAAAAGCAAAATCATAAAAGTTATTTGATGAGTTGTTACACTGGTTAACAGAAGCTAAATACCACTTAGCTATGATTTCGTTTTATTACTTCTGCGATTAGGCATTATTGGCAATATATATAGGCAATATATATAGACATAATTGGTCCAATGTCTTACTGCTCATTGTTCAATTGAAAAAAAAAGAGCTTCTTATTTATTTATGTTGCAATAGTTGGTTATCAAATCAACTTAATGTCTTATACTTTCCAAGCTTCAACCTCAATTATTTAATTATATTTTCCAGCGCTTTAAGTTAAAGCCCTCAAAAGCAGGTTTGGTGGAGGAGTAGTAATCAGTCTGAAAGTTGGACTGCGCCACTTCTGCTACGTTGAGTAATGTGAGTGCTTCCGCTTCCGTATGTGTATACTCGTATGTGAGTTTGTGTGGCCACTTCCTGCTGCCTCATCCGCATCCGCATCCTCATTCTCGTTTCAACGTTTCTTTTTTATATTATTTCATTTTAAGGAAAATTTTTCAAAATACTTAATACTCAATTTGGCCGAGAGACCCACAGACAGAGCGAAATGCTATGCCAGACGAGTGCCAGAGGGCTTAAAGTGGGCGAAAGTGGGCGAAAGTGGAACGATGTGGATTGGAGCGCATGTGTGTTGTGTTAACTGCTTCCCACTTGGTCGCATTTCCTTCTGGGCTCCGTCTGGGCGGCAAAAGCGAGATAAAAGCGTCTTTAGCCAGCTGAATAACTTGTTGGATCCTGCCGCACTGCAACTGCTACTGCAGCAAACACTTGCCGACCAAATGGTGCTTGAATGTATTTCACTTTGATTTGCTTTTATTTTAAAGAAATCCATTCAGAGCAGCGGAGTGCGGAATGCGGAATGCGCTTGGCATAAATCTATGGAGACTGCAGAGCTTGAGGCTTTTATGAGTGGCACTTAACCGCTTAATTGCTCATTATGCTCGAGTTTATCCAGCCATTTAATCAGGCACTCAATGCAAGCAGGCAAGGTAGCAGTGGCGCTGTTAAATGTATAATTGAGCCAAACGGCAATAAAACATTAATTAAAAATCTGTACTTACAATCAACGTGCTGCCAGGGCCCTCGAGTGAATTTTTACAATCGTCATCCTTCTGTTTACCTCTGTGTGTACAAATATGAAAAGTTCATGGCCTTATTTCCTGTGTATAAACGTATTCTTATCATATGCACATGTACACCGGTCTTCAATGCACTTTGCATTTGCGATCAAGAGCTGAGGTCGATAGTAAAATAATAAAGCATTTTATAACTTAAACGCTTAAGTTGCTGATTCATGCCTTCTACCTAGAGAGTACATGTTTTAATTGGCTCCTCTGACAACCAGAAACTCACACACTTGTTTGCTTATCCAAAAGTCAGTTTAAATTTAATTTGAACCAGTTATAAACAAGCAATTAATCGAAGCAGTCACACAGTCACACTTGACTCTTTTTAAGGTAAATTCATTTAGTTAAAAACAAGATTAAAGAGTAGCTTTAATTTAGCCATCTGTTGTCTACTAGTCAATACGGCTTCCTAACTTGCGGTGAAGGCAAATTGAGATATTTGGTTTTGCCAACGTCTTTTTACGAACCAGAGAAGGTTCTGACCTTTTGGGGTGGCCACGTCCTTGTTACCGATTTGTCAAAATCATCGACTCACCGTGACCTCAGACACGTGAAGTTCGGGCTCCAACGAGGAAATAGGGAAAATCCAACTGACACTCGTAACAGGTTCGACGTGTTGTCAACAAAAGCCAAGCAATATCCACCTAAGCGAAAACTCCTTGACACACCCACACTACCACACATGCACACACCAACACTCCCACACATCGTACACACACATACACACACAGCCACGCACGTATTTGGACGAACTTTCATTAGTGGAAACGTCAAAGTTCGTGGGGAAAAGGAAAAAGGATCCCCATAGAACGCTCCATCTCCGTCAAGTGGCGAAATGCAGAGCCATCGATTGGGTGGCACCGAGAAAATAAGAAAGCGCTGCTGAAACTACTGTAATTGCATTTGCATATGACATTCCGTTCAAGTTTAAGAAATCCTCGCCACCCTGCCAGAAGTTAAATGGAACTTTCGTCAGAAAATACCTATTGCCTTACTCTCTCAAAAATAAATCCGAAATGCATACACCGAAATAAGCTGCTGGGATAGATAGATACTCCTAAACATAAATATAGACAAGTAGGGACATCGTTCCCTCAGCTGCTGTGACTCTCAGCGTTTTCACTTTTTTGGGTACGTCTTGGTTCGCAAGCAAAGTTAAGTTAATAAAATCATTTTAAAGTTTGGCTGTCATGGATACGACACTTTCTATTATGCATTAAGGCAACCAAATTGTTGCCAACCTTTTCGCTCCTATGTTTTCAGCTTGCAACTTGTCCACTGATGCAACTTCCAGGACACAGCAGGAAAAAAAAAGAAAAGCGAAACAAAAATTGGTGGGAGTGGAGTGGTCGGCATGGTGGGGTTTGGGCCAAGATAGATACCGTTGCTGACAGCTGCTTAAGTGCGAAATTCGATTTCGCATTCAAGGGCGTTGTCCACTTTAAGCTCCTGCTTTTCCGCTATATCTGGCCAAAAGCGGCGAGCAAAAGGCAAAAAGGGATGGGTGAAAGGGGAAATAATTTAAACTTGTAATGAACCGAACAGCAAAGGCGAAGCGGAAAAAATATCAGAATGGGAAATTTATAAAGGGCGAAATAAACGACAGTGCTGAAGCTCAAGACACTTAAAAAGAATCTCTGAAATATAATTAAAATTAAATGCAAAATGCAGTTATATTAAAAGATACATTATACTTTTTCAAAGCTTGTAATAAATAAGTATAATAAAGTAACAAGATGTAATTGTTAGACTGAAAGAAATGTGCTTGATTTGCATTAAAAATTAACAAAGTCTGTAATACACTATTTATATTGTTAAATTGAAAGAATTTTCCATTTGTTGCAAACAAATAATTCAATTAAATAGCCATACGCAATTCATTTAATTGTTGTTTTCAGTGCCGCGGCAGAAAACGATTGAGTGCTGCTAACTAAAAGCCCCCAAAGGAGATAAAACTAAAACAGCAGAGAAAAAAGGTGAATCGTATTTTAACGAACATTTTAGAATTGGGCACCATTTGAATATCTGAATGGCCGGCTCGAAAATTTGCGAAAAGCTTAAATGCCACTTGAATGCGGCAAGGCCACAATCGTATTCGCTAATTGAATGTTAATTAATAAAAAGCAAAACTGAGTGGCACAAAAATAGGGGAATAATGAGTGGATAAAGCCAGAGTGAAATACTTGTTGACTGAATGAATGCCCATTTACGGAGGATTCAACCCGGAAAAGGTGCACAAAAAGCGTGGCGAGATCTACCGCGCGATAAAGTTTTAATTTCCATTTGATGGCTGTTAGTGAAGCAGTGCAAAAACATTTTCATATTTATACGTATTATTTTCAGGTTTTTTTTTGATTCTTTGCTTGTGTTGTATGTGTATGTAAAATATGTTTTAATTAAACGAAAAGTTTTACATGGTTTTTTATTTCTCGCCGGCCCCTTTTGAGCGCTGATTGCCCCAAAGCTGGACAAAATCAGAATGGCAAACAAACAAATATAAATTTGCTGGGCAGCAGCAGCAATAGCCAGCCATGGTGGCAAAAAACACAAAAAAAATCCCCAAAGTGCAGCGCAATGGGCAATGGCAGATGAAAAACGCTACCAAAGTACCAATTCCACTCACTCATACTCGCATTCCCCACATCTCCGCACAAAAGCCCTCTGTTTCTGGCAGATGAGCCAAAGTAACGTAAAATTCCCCAATGCCCCAAAACTACAAATAGATATTTAATTTTTTGCCATTTCATACACAGTTTTCCCAGTCGAGAGCGAAAGTGTGTGTGCCAGTGGGTGGGCTTGTGGGTGCCACACAAATGACCCAGAAATTTCGTTAAGCGACAAACAAACAGGAATTAATTTTGGTTGTAGCTTAAAGTTAGTCCCTGGAAACACTCGACAAATTGCGGACAACTATTTAGCCTCTCTGGCCATACACGACCACATTGAAATGCCATGGAATAATATTGCACTTAAATCAGGACTCACCAGGGACAACAAGAAAATCATTTGTTCTTGAAGGGAAGGCTGAAGCTCTGAGCAATGGAATTTGGCTCTAAGGATTAAATAGTTTGGCTTGGCATATTGGGCAATCGACTTCGTTAATATTACGGATTTGTAGAATGGTAGAAAATCATACGAATAAATCAAATATTTTATTATTACATTCCGAGCAATCATTTCAATCTATTATACTTTTGTGAATATCATGAAGTAGGCTGTGTTTAATTCCTCTGCCAATTTATCTTTTTCCATATTCTATTTCATCATTAAATTCTAAATTTACTTTTTCTTTTCACTATGCTCAGAACCAAGAACTACAAAATCTGCATCAAGGTAATTTATATAAATGGTCTAGAATCTGCACTAACCTTCTTTTCAGGGCGTTACTTTTCGTTCATATGCCGGTTGCAAAAATGGCAAAGGTGGTAAGGGTGGCAAGGGCGGCAAGGGCGGCTTAAAGGCCAAGTTGGCAAAGAAAATTCCTATGGAACGGGAAAAGTTTTTGGGTATCAGGTGTCTGCACGGCAAAAAGATTATTGGCCAGATAAGTGTTAATAGCGTGATAGGAGGAATGCGAGGACTTCCGCTTCTGTTTTGCGAGACTTCCAGGTATGTTGGCATGGCAGTTGAATGGGCTTGAAATTTGGCCATTTACAATACGTTTTCCCCTCTTTTCGCATGCCAGCCTGGACAAAAACAAGGGTATTTATTACCGCGGAAAACTGCTTAAGGATGTGTGTGCCAAGCTGCCGCGGGTGCAAGAGGGCACCAATGAAGGCACTCCCGAGGGATGCTTCTATCTGCTGGTCAGCGGATTGATGCCCACGAAGAAGGATGCCAAGGAAATCACCAAGGAGTGGCTGAAGCGTGGCTCAGTTCCGCGCTATTGCCTCCGGTTGATTGACTCCATGGACAAGCGGGTGCATCCGATGGCCCAGTTGTGCGCCGCCAGCGCCTGTCTCAATCCGCAGAGCAAGTTCGTCGAGGCTTACACCAAAGGGGCCAAACGTGCAGACTACTGGAAATACACCTACGAGGATGCCATGAACCTGATCGCCATGCTGCCCACCGTGGCGGCTGCCATCTATAATAACGTGTTCAAGGATGGCGAGGGTTCCCGGGAGCTCAACGATGAGGAAGACTGGTCCGGCAACTTCTGCCGCATGCTTGGCCTACCGGAAAAGGATTTCGTCGACCTCATGCGACTCTACATGGTCCTGCATGCGGATCATGAGAGCGGCAATGTTTCCGCCCACGCGTGCCACCTGGTTGGGACAGCACTCAGCGATCCCTTCCTGTCTTTCTCGGCCAGCATGTGCGGCCTGGCTGGACCACTTCATGGATTGGCCAACCAGGAAGTGCTAGTTTGGCTGACAAAGCTTCGGAAGGCTATTGGCGATGACCCCTCGGATGAAGAGCTAAAGAAGTTCATCGACGATACGCTAAAAGGAGGACAGGTGAGTTTGATTTTGGCATATACTCCTATATTCAATCTAACTTGTACTCCAGGTTATTCCCGGCTATGGACATGCCGTACTCCGAGACACCGATCCTCGGTTCGTCCTGCAAAATGAGTTCGCCATGAAGCACTGCAAGGATGATCCGGGCGTAAAGCTTGTGACTCGCATGTGGAAGATCATACCAGAGGTGCTGAAGAAGCTTAACAAGGTGGCGAATCCGTATCCAAATGTCGATGCCCATTCCGGCGTCCTGTTGCAACACTACTGTCTGAAGGAGCTGAATTTCTACACCGTTCTCTTTGGAGTTTCCCGGGCGCTGGGGGTACTGTCGCAGTTGATTTGGTCCCGGGCCTTGGGGGCACCAATTGAAAGACCAAAGTCATTTTCCTCAACGGAGATCTGCAACTTCATCAGGGAAGCGGACAAGAAGTCGGGAAAAAAGAACGAAAAAAAGAAGTGCTAAAAGAAAAACTGAGGTGAATGTTTCTTTTTATTTTGCTTAAATTTTAATTTTATATTTTTCTTCCTTAAATAGATAATGGTTTGCAATTTAAGAACTTTCTGAAAGTCTATTAAACGATTAGAAAAAATATTCCTCTCTTTCGTTAAGTGTTGTAGTTATATATAATACGTTATTATCATATGAATGCGTTTGACATATTTACCTGGGTATGATATGAGATAATTTTGGGGGAATGGAATGTCTTATTTTAGTCCGGTGTTGTAATTATGGCTTTGGCCTAAGTAAACCGCATTTCCATCGCTTTGATGTTAGTTTCAACCAAAAACGCGTCTAATATCCAATTCCCCCGGCATAATTTATTTTTCCCTCCAAAGTGGATCATAAATCAGTCGTGTAATCCAAGCTTGGCACAAGCACAATTAAAATGATTAAATGTAAGCGATTTCGGTTACAGTTGAGGGAAGACTTCAATGAGTAGAAGAAGTCTCAATAGTTTGGCCACAAATTAATTGAAATTGTTGAGATATCGCTAACTGTGAATTGCATTCAATTCCCATGTAGCTATTCTCTATGCCAAACGTTTCGAATTTCGTTGAATGTACTCATGATTATTGTAATTTTTATAAAAGCATTCCATCAACTGATTGATTTCTGTTCAATTTCTCCCATTGTGTGGCTTGCCTCTTGCCACTTCCATTGGTTTCCCCACTTTTAGTTTCATTGAAACGGCCCCTTGTTTCTGTAACTGATATTTTATTGTTATTTTTATTATACCAATCTCTCGATGGGTGTAAGTCCTTGGGGATTATTAAGCCAGGTCCCTAGATTCCACTCTCTTGGATTTAATATTCATTTTTTAATGGGTATGTATTTGGCCTACATAACAAGTGACCTACTGCGAACTAGAATCCTAATTTGTATCAGATTGGAAAAGGTATTTCAAGAAATTGTTATAGTCCATAACACTTAATAACACTTAATTTTTCATTCTTATATTAACATGATATATCCCACAATAAAACCGACAATTATCGAATTTTAATTTTCCAGCTCTCCCCACACATGAATACATTTCCGCCCCTTGTTGTAACCATAATAATATGATCATGAACTACTTTTTCCCGTCGGGTCCTTAACTTAATATTAATTGCTTTGAGCATGGGGGGTATTCGACTGAAATGGGAAATGAGGATGCGTTGAGGGGAGCAGAGTGTAAATGATAAAAGTTGAAATATGTTTACCCGAGCTTGTGGAAAAAATAAGCTGCAAAACGTTTTAATAAAAGTATTTACTATTTTCCCGCACAGTTATTTTATTGTTGAGGGAAATCACTAAAAACTTTTTCATCGCAATTCAGCTACACACCGCTCTTTTTTCCCTTTTTTATATAATTTTTTCAAACATAATTTGAAACTGTTTTGGGTTGGGCGAAATGCAGAATCACGCCTCTGGCCTTTTACTCGTATGTGCTGCTCCAGTGGCCTTGGACGCCAGAAAAGGAAAGCGAATGCCGCCCAAACACACACACACCCACACATACGCTCAAATTCACCCACTTGAGCACGCACACACCCACAAAGATGGGCGGAAAGGGTACAATACACATCCGCATCAACCATGTTCCTGTCCATGTGGCCGCTGCTGTCCCGCCGCCTGGCCAGACCCGAAAATAAAACCATGGTCGACTTCCATCTGGATGTGGGACGCGTGTGCGTGTGTGGCAGTAGTAGTCATATAGAATGTTCGCACATATGCCAGCTTGCTTTCAGCCATTTGCTGCAATATTAAAACAAAAGTAATGCGAAAGTGCTTTCCAACCCATCGCCCTCGTTGCCGCCCACAGTTGCGCCCTCTTCTCGTTGGTCTGGAAAGAAAACAAAACCGTAGATTAAAAAATTTTTCGAAATTGTGTCTGGCATGCAACTATGTGGGGATATTTTAAAAACTGACCAGCGCATGGCATCATTCGCTTTACTGGTAACAATGTTGCATGGCTATGATGGAATTGCGCAATAAAAATGCCCAAAAATGTATTACACACAATAATAAATGTCTGCCCAACGTAATTTTATGAAGAACGAGTATCTTAATTCTACTGCTAACTTAGTATCTGAACTTGAGGTACCATGTGACCGACTACACTGGTGGCTTTAAAAAATCTGTTTTTCTTGCCAAAAACATAAACGAATTTAAGATAATGGGCTTTTTTGCAGTTTATCTTGAACGGGAGTAGCAACCATGCTGCTCCTATAACTATAACTTCCTCCGGGGCACAAAAAAATTTTGCGAAATAAAACACTCTCGGCTGCATTTTGAAAACTTTCACTTAGAGCTGCGCTTTTGTTTTGCAGTTTGCCAGCGGTTTCATTTCATTAACTTCCGTTCAACTTTCCGAAGACATTTCGAGTGACTCCTTGCAAGGACTGCTTTGTGTTTTGCATATCTCCATAATCACTTTCATTGCCTGAGAGAGAGGAGGAGCTGCTAAAATTGTGTCTTTTTAAATGTAAGCGAAATGTGGCTAAAAAGGAAGGCGGTGGGGGCAATACAATAACTTCCTTATAGACCGAAAACTTTATGGCTGCGCCAGCAGCTGCACTCGAGTCGCTATCAAACCCGAGTATTAAGCCCCTCCGGCTTTCAGCTCCTTTCCCCGTCACAATGTTATTGTATTATAATGGTCTCCAGCGCGGACCAAGGCTGCATGGGGATCTGCGTATGTTCTATTTTTTAAGATATGCAAAATAAGTTGCAGTTGCTTTCGACAAAGGCGACTTGCAGACAAACACATCAGACATTGTGAAAAATAACTATGTGTTTATGTATGCATGTATATGTGCTATGTGCTATGTGCCATGTTGTATATGCTATATGCGTATATGTGTTGCGTTGGTATGAGTGAAAAGTTTGCCGGGTACGCAGGAAAATTATAATTCTTCCTCTCTAAACAACGACTGGCCAAAGGAGGAAAGGACATGCTGAAAGAGCAGCAGTAGTAACTGACTGAGTGTCAGTAACTGTTGGCTTCTATGTGGCAGTTTTCCGGAAGTTTTCGAAATAAATTGCCCTAGATTCTGCACTCCTTTAATATTTTATACATATTAAATGAACTTTCCTAATGACTTTTATAAATTGGTATGGTCTTCGAGCGAAGGTTATTTAAAATGGATATCGTTGAAATGCTCATTTAGTTATTCATGAAACATGTGCCTCGAAAAACGTACGACGTATTAAATAATTGTTTAATTATTTTGATGTTTCTTTCATATTTATTTTCCATTTAATTAAATCATTTTTAATTACAGGGTTAATAAAAAAATACATTTTACATTGCTTTTTAAATAAATCGCTATGGATTTGGTCGCTAATGAGGAAGGCATTATTGGGTTATTTGCCTGAAATTAATGATTTTTAATGGGCCACTCGTGCATTTTAGTCGGTTTTGATAACTGATATTTTGGATAATTGCTATTGTTTGAAAAGTTGAAAATTATAAGGGACAACAAATCTTCATGTTCATTTTCCATGTATGCTGTTAATTTCTAAATTTGTTTAAGACTACACAAAAACCAACAGCGCAACAGCTTTAACCATTTTCCGAGCAGAACTTTTTAATGTTCTACCTTCTATTTATATTGCACCCAGTTTACAGCTAGCCCCCTTATTCCGGTTCTCTCTGGCGTTTACTATTTCATTTTCCAGTCGAAGAAGTATTCGCACATAGTTTTGCCCGGCGGAATGTGCTAAAAGCGCCGGCAGGTAAAAATAATTGCGATTATACTCGCTATTTTTCCGCACAGCAACACTAAAAGGGAGTGGTGCTGGGAATTGCGGAGTTGGATGGGGAATTTACCTTTTCCGGACAGGCAGAAGATGGAGTGAATGTGGTCTGATGGCATTCTGGTTTCAGCGAAGTATCTTCCAGTTTAGCCCCCTTTTACACCCGTGTGCAATAGGAAATCACAATGTACTTTAACTATTTTTTGTAAACTTTAATGAGCCCAAATATTTTAAACTGTTAAAGAATTCATGAGCTAATTAACTGTTTTAAAATGGCTGATTAAATGGTACATAAATAACACATTTAATCAGTAAAGATTAATTACATTAACATTCATTTCACTGAATGGAGCAAAACATTAAAAAAAAGGAATGCACAAGTGCTTTTTAATAATATGTAAAAGTGTTTAACAAACACAACCTGCTTTTCACTGATTTATATTTATTTTCTGCTCTTTGAAAACTTTCATTTGACTTTTGGAGTGTTTTTTTTATTTGCGCTAGCACGCATTTAAGTTAATAGCCATTTAAGAACACTGATTAACAGGCTGATTGGAAATAAACGGTTGCACATGGGGCGTATGCGCGATTTGAGATTGGACCCTGTTCTTCGCTCTGCTACCTTTTCTGATTGCCTGCGAATTAATTAGGAACAGGGAAAGTTTGCGGCATTGTTTGTCATTCGGTATCCCATTTTTGCCATCGTCAACATCATCAGCATCGTTCCCATCTAGTTGGGCTCTGTGCCATTGTTCCTTGAATTAGGTTTTGGTGAATGGACTGCAGTTGTCGCTTATCCTTATCTGCTTGTCCTTGTAATTATCAACCGAGGACCAAGGACCAAGGACCAAGGAACCTCTGCCCCTGCTCCCTGGACCATTGTTTTCGAGTACTCAAATCGCGAATTATGCTTTCCACTCGGTTGATTCTGGCCAACTGGCAGATAAGATATGCCCAAGATATGCCCAAGTATGGAGATGTTGGCTTTAAGAATGCAGTCGCTTTAATAAGAGATTACGCATTTGCAGCACGTGCTACTTGCTACGTTAACTCAAGTTAATTAATTAATTATTGTTCTGGCATTCGTTTGGTAACAAATTTTGACACAATACAACGGCCAGCCCTCCATAAATTTACTCAAACACTGACCTCCCGTTGTTCCTGTTGCGGGGTTTCATTAATAATTCAGCTCATATGAAACTCGGAAAAGCTGCTGAATTG